CTCCAGGCATCTGAAAGCTCATAGGCACTAGAAATGGGAGGGGGGAAAAATAACAAAAACGAAAGACCTTATGATTTAAAGATCTTGGATTCAATCGCCATGTCTCTACCAGGCAGAACCTGACCACCAAGCTCACACCGTGTAACTTCAGGCCCCTCACAAAGGTATTCACAGTGACTCTAGAGGCACCTAAGATGACTAGCCTGCCAACATCCACCTCTGGAGGACAATTCAGCTCATGAAAAGAATCACCCGAGATGTCTCTGTCTTCCTTGTAATTATATAAGCAGTTTCTGTAACAGTTCTGCGAAGTCCTTCTTGCAGAAAACTTATTTATGTGCAAAATGCAAAACAAACCAACACGACAACCCAAACCAGATGGTGAATGCAGAACAACTCCGTTTGGTGACTGCACCCTTCCTTTGTTCTCCCATGAAAATCATTAGTAATTTCAAGATATCTTATGTTGTGGCCACTTCTTTTTGTCCTATACTTACAGCCAGGAAATGTTACTGTGTACTCTGTAAAGGTGGATAAATTGAGGTGCAAAAAGCTGCTGTTTGCTTACGCTCTCCCAGGGGCAGGATGAGGTAAATTACTTCTCATCATTAAACCACATTTTATCACGCAGACTCTAAGCCAGAAATATACGTGCCTATCCTTTCCTCAGAGTTTACTAAGATTTCATTTAGCGACTAGACTAATCCGGCATCTGGACTGTCTCTTGTGGCTTATTTAATGGTGGTGGGAAAAAGAGGTAATGAAAAAAGAGTGAGGTAACAAGCACTGCTGTCTCTATGCCCAGACAACAGCAACGCTGGACACCGTAGACAGAGAACGAGGTTTGCAGGACAGCTCCTGATAAATCAGGTTGTGGTTAATTGTCAGTAAATAGCAGCGGAAGGGTAATGTTGGAAGAGAAGACAGGCTCTTCAAATTATCTGCCAGAAAGTCTTGTAGGATATGCAGACTGCGTCATCACGCTTACAGAAAAAAAAATAAAAAGAAAAAAATATTGGACTCTGCAACCTTCTCTAGTCGAATCAGCCAAATTTTTCTCCATAACTCAGCGGACTCTGCAGGCACGTGGAAGAGAGGGCTGAACCTCCACTGCTCTTCTACGTTCAGCAGCCTGGTTCACGATCAGGAGGGTAACGGCAAGAAGTTTGGCCAACAGCAGCCTAGACCTGTTCTGTCAACAGGATGGCTCTAATTTTTTGTTGCCACTGTGGGGAGCAGAAAGGAAATCAAAGCACAAATGTATTCACTTTGCAGACAGATTTTCTACCTTCACTTTCTTCCTTTTTATTGCAGGTCAAATTTGGGCCAGCTGATTTTGACAAGTGTCCCTTTCAGATAAGGCAAAAGAGAATTAATTCCCTAAAGTAATCTCTGTGACCAATTCATTAAGTAGGCGCTGTGAGCGATGCTGCTGCTTTTAAGACGCCCACGAAGGAGCACTGGAAGTCAGAACACTTGTCATCTCTATTGATTTTGTCTTTACAGTGGTCATTTCACTCAGCAGTGATCACAACAGACCTGCCCAGAAACTCAGCCTCCCTTTGGCATTTTTTAACTGCTCGTGGAGTCACGGTGCCTCAATCATACTCAATATTGACTGGAAGGATCCCTGTCAGCGGGCTTCCTGCCGCAGCTGCCTTCCTGGGTTAGTTACTGCAATACTGTGGGTCCCTGGGAAGCTCTCACTACACCAACACAAAGTTTCTTTTCTTTTTCAGTAAAATAAAAACATTGCATTTTAGGGTGGCTGGTAAGTTTCTTGTGTGTTGCTATTCTTCAGTGTGTTATTATTTATCCTCTTCAAAATTCAAGTCAATTTGAAAACAAAAACATGGTTTTAAAACACAATGTTTCATTTTGTTAAAAAACCAACCAACTTGAAGTGTTTAGGAAATTGCAGTCAAGTTGAAAACAAAAACATTGTTTTAAACCACAATGTTTCCTTTTGTAAATAAACCAATGATTTGAAGTTTCAACTCTTCAGAATTTATTCTACACTTTTCATTTGAAATCATTTACCATTTGACTTTTGCCGGATCAGAGTTAAACTTAAATGTCAGTACGAAGAGCTCCTTGTTTGAGAGGAGACATTTATAATAAGTATGTGGTTGGTTTACGCTATTGGAAATAGTTACAAAATTGCTGCCCCAAATGTTTCAGTGAAAAATACTCAGGCTTTTAGTCAAGGCATTCAGTGTAAATTCCTCTAGTCATTTGTACGCTGACAATCGCCATTTTGACCTGCTTTCAAAACACCTTATGAAAAACTACTGCTGTCTTTTCCTCACCAGTGCAGGAGGCGTTCACGGAATGATTTGCTTTTGTCTGGAAAGACGGAATAAGTTTCCATTAATTTTTACTCCTGACAACAAGCGCAGGGCTGGGCCAGCTCTGAGGCAGCACGCGGGACGCGCTCGCCTCTGGCACACCATGAACAGAGCTGTGTGTGCTGAGCAGTGGGACCACGAACATGGTGATGGTGGTTCCTAAATTTACAAAGGGAACAAGTGGTCTGTCACACTTTTATGCTGCCCTGAACCTGACGAGGTTATAAGTGTTAGAATTTAACAGAAGTCACGCTGCAAGTAAATTATACAACTTCTTAAAGCAGATGGTGCTTGAACAATATGACAGGAAGGAAAGAACCAAAAGAATTTGCCTGGAGCCAGTTTTAATGTATGGAGGTAGGGATTAATATCCCTCAAACTGCTTTATCAGTATTACAAAGCAGGAAAGCACAAACACTGTGCTGCAAGCCACTCATTGTGGCAAAGTATCACACCCCCCCACTTACCATATGTCATTCAGAAAAGCATCTCAGCCTCTGCATCGGATAACGGCACCATCTCTGCTCTAAGTTCAAAGCAAACTGGCTCTTTTAGCTCCAGTTTTGGAATTTCACAGCCTGTCTTCTGAGACCAGAATAATTCATTTCCCTAGATGTATGCTCCTTAATATCATTACCCACTGGCCTGTACAATCCCTCTGGGAGAGGAGCCCATTTGTAAAGCAATATTATTCCTGTGCCATGCTTTTAATTTTGAGGTTGTTATTGATAATGACTTCCTCTCACACGTATCTAGCAGAGGCTGAGCTTTCATAAGAGGAAGGCAGTGCAGTAGCTGTTCAAACAGAATGTGATAGTGTCACTGTGTGATGAGGAAAGAGGCTTTGGACAAACAAGGAACTGCATTCCATGCTCAGATTAGGAGGTTCTAGTTTAGGTGACAAAATAAGCTTCCATTACAAACCTTTGCCTTTGATAATCTCTTCCACCTTCTTTTGCCACAATATTCTGCTGGGAAAGGAATATTTGCCTAGTAATGCCAAATGAATTCCACTTCTACAATGCAGTACTCCAACCCTGGTACAGTGTAACCCATACATAACCTCCCATTAGCTCTGTTTGGAAAAGTCAGCATTGCTATCCACCTAATGACTAAAGGGAGACACTGGGAAACGGAATTAACTCTCCAGAGAGCTCTCTAAGAGTGAACGTCTGGGAGGCAAGGATTTGAGAGAGTATTTCCCCTTACACCTGGCTGTTAGGAGACTAACGAGGACAAATCTCAAGAAGGGGACAATATTAATAGTAGACAAAGGCCACAACCTGTGAGACAGGGTGCTGATACCACTGAGTACTCATACCAAGACAAAAAGCATTAGTGCTTCAGAGAGAATCCGTGCCTCGTCAAGATGGAAAAAACCCCAAATATCACCAAGACAAAAACCTTGGGCTCACAGTGCTGCCTTATAACTAAAATCCTTAAACACCAATGGGCAAAACTACTTATAAAAGCTTTTTTTTGCATCTCTGTCTGTTTCTATTTTCTCCATCTCAAGATAGCAATTCTCTCCTCAGTGCTGCCTGTAGCCCCATTCCCCTTGAAGGCCCTGGTTCTACCAAGGCATGCTGCCAACCCCAGACTTGGAGAAGCTGCCTGAAGGGAGTGTCAGCCTCTCAAGGTGCTTACACACACTTGCTGTGCTACAAGCACGGCAGTCAGAGCCTGCCAGCTCCTGCTCAAAGCCTAGAAAAAGTGAATTAACTGTGAGTGGCAAAATGACCCCATGGTGCCATGTCTTTTAGGTCAGACTCCAGAGGAAAAGCCTCCTCCTCCCTAGGAGATACAATGCATCCCATCTGTGGAAAGGAGCCTGGAGACCCTTGGGGCCACCCACTCCCTGGATGGAGAGGCACACTGCCACCTCCCTTTTCTACACTTTGTAAAGCTGAGGGACACAACTTTTCCATATTTATTATATAAAGACACAGGCTTCTTCCATCACCTGCCCCAAATACACCCACAGGAGGAAACTGGGAATCAGCTGAGGATGTCTCCTCATCTACCCACTGCACAGCATTGTTCTATGCTGTTCAACAGCTGCTGCCTTCCAGGAGTCACAAAAGCAGTTTCTGTATTTTTCCTTTTTGAGCTTCTTTTGAAATTATATGTCCTGCATCACGTGCAAGTCATTCAGTCTCAGCACATGCTGGTTTATGGGGTATAGTAATACTCAGGCACTTCCTTCATAGCCTCCATTAAAAAGTAACACCACAGCAATACCTAAAATAGCACAGTTACAGCCAACTTTTAATATAGAGGAGAAATTGAAAAAGATTCACGCCATGAATTTTGATCACAGAAAACAGGACCACAAGAGACCTCACAAATCCTTTTAGCCTGTTCCTTTTTTCCCGTGGATCAGTTCTAGGTGATTATGGATAGCTTCTCATCTAACCCCTTTGTCTGAATCCTGGACTTACAAAAATAGTGTGAAACACTACAACATGAGTTAAAGGACCTGTCTTAATTGCTAGCTAGCTCAGTCCACAATATCCCACCTGAATTGGTCACTAGAGAAGGACAAATCCCAACAAGTTCCCATGAGTTCAGGTGACATTGACAGTAAAATTCTAATGCCAAATTGCCCTCCATTTTCCCCCTCTCCCCCTCTGATTTTTGACAAGTCCTTACCAGTTGCTTCCACCATTCCTTCCAGGATGACCACGATTTCAAACTCTTCCTTCTCCAGCTGGGTGCGGGACATCTCCCAGAAGGGGCTTTTCTCATTGATTTCATGCGAGATGATAAGAGGTGACACCAGGAACAATCTGTCGTCTCCAGTGTCAAATCCCACGTTGATGTCCGTTTGGTTCAAGGGGATGAACTCTCCTTCTTTGGTCTGTTTGGACTTAATCAATTTGGCTCTAATGGAAGCCTCGACAATATGGGAATTGCGGAGGTCTCCAACCCGGAACATGAGACAAAGCTTCTCATCCCTCATGGAAATCACTGCATTGTTAGAAAACATGAGGGTTTCAGCCCTCTTCTTTGGTTGGCTGATCTTGACAAACATGCATCCCACCATGAACGCATTGACAATGGAGCCCAGAATAGCCTGGATGAGGAGCAGTACAATGCCTTCTGGACACTTCTCCGTTATCACCCTATAGCCATACCCAATTGTTGTCTCAGTCTCGATAGAAAACAGAAACGCAGAAACAAATCCACTGAGGTTTTCAACACAGGGGATCCAGTTCTCATCTTCAAGGTGGTCCAGGTCTCCTCGTATATAGGCAATGAGCCACCATATGAACCCAAAAAACAACCAAGTGATGGTATAGACCATAGTGAAGACAAGAAGATTAAAACGCCACTTGAGGTCCACCAGTGTAGTGAAGAGGTCACTAAGGTATCGATAAGTTTCTTGGACGTTTCCATGGTGCACGTTGCACTTGCCACTTTTCTCCATGTAACGCTGACGTGGCTTCTTACCTTCTGCTGATATGAGGCGGGTGCGGTCAGTGGCAATGGGGACATCATCCCGAGCCTGTTTGGGAATCTTTTTAGGCTCTCTGGATGTAACTCCGATATCCATGTCCTGGTTCATGAAGATCCTAGAATCTCCGGCCATGGCTGAGCTGTGGAAGAACAAGGAAATAAAGTTTAAATAGGAAGAAAAAAAAAGCTGAGACAAAAGTAATTTGATTTTACCGTCTGAACCATTACGACAGAGCAGGACAGTAAATATTGCAAATATTAATGTTCCACTGACAAACTGGATACAGGTTGATTCTACATCAGGAAAGCTCTTCGCTAGGGCCATGCCTTTCCTCCTAGTATTGTTTTGGGAAACACTTTGAAAGGCTTCAGCACTTCTCTCACAACAGCCACTTGTTAAATATAACACTGCATTGAACTGGATGTTAAATCCTGATCCATAAAACAGCTTCTTCGAGCATGAACCAGCTGCCAGTCACTTTGCTTAATGCACTACTGGAACCTCCGAAAATATGGTGATGAGCATGGTCTAGGAATCATGAAATAGGTAAACCTTGTTATGGTTTTTTGGGGCTTTTGGGTTGTTTTTTTTTTTTTTGTCCTCAGATTTTTCTACATCCAAAATTTGCTTGAGATCACAACTAGAAGCAAAGTAAAGATACATCAATATATATTTTCAAGAGGGACTGGAATTTTTTGTTGCCTCAGGTTTTGGGTGCATACCAAAAGAAACCTTAGAACTTAATAGAAAATGCTGAGCACCACTGCCTACCTAAATCCCACATAAGTCTAAATTATGCATGAAGGTTTCCCTTATAGTCAGCAGAGAAAAGCACCTCCAGGGATAATTCAGATTTCAGGTGTGCTGAATCACCTTCTGGAAGTACCCACCCCCTCCGCAAATTATTCAGGTAACCTGGGTTCCAAATGTGAAATAAGCTTTTAATTTAGCATCTTGAATTATGTGTCTGAAAGTGTGACAAATCCAGGTCTCCTGTTAATCAGCTATACCAGAACCCACCCCTTTACTTCATCTGATATTAGACAAAAACACCAGACACTTTTAGGAATGTAACAGACAGCTGTTAAAAAGCCCACTGTCAACATGCAAAACTATGCTTAACAAGATACAAATAAATAACACAAAATGATGGCTGCAATGATTTTTGCAGGTTATAATGTAGCATCCTGCTTACTGAGATTATTAGATATTCCTTTCAAAAAAAAACCTGTACATGTTTTATTGAAAAATGAGAGTCTGGACTCTGAATGCAGGGCACAGACAAAATCTCTGTGAAAGACTACCTAAGAAGCCTTAGGGATATCAAAGATAGAGTAGCAATATTCTCCATGGCGTTCAGTCTCTGCATTGTCCTCTGCAAATCCTATTAAAACCTAACTAAATCTATTACTGCTCCCTCTATCTTTAATCTTCTTATGCATCTGTGAATGAGAAAAGGTGTAGAGATACAATTAAGAGTATCTTGGGAAAGACAATTTTAAGACTGAGCAAAGTAGCTTCATCTTTTTGGTATTAAAAAGCACAAAGGGTGGGCGGGAAGGAAGCAGAGGCAGGATGAATAAATGAAGCAACAAATTTCCACTTCCATTCTGCTGTAGCCAACTCTGGTTAACAGCAAAGAATTACTCTTAGCCCTTGTATAAGTCACCATCAATCATTACTCCAACGAAGCAGCCAGAGCCTGTTGCTGGAACCATACCCGCTGGCTCTGTTCACCAGGGAGCCCAGCCATCTGTCCACAGCACAGTCCCAAAGCTTCTTCACGCTGGCAAATGAAGGGTTTGGTTGGGTGCCTGGTTTGAAGGATTTGGGCCAGGGCTGAGCCAGTGCAGCCACAGAAAGGGGTAAATAATAGGGATTAATGAGGCTGGGATGGTAAATCAGGGGGAATCAGGTTTGCTACCCCCACTGCAAGTCATCCTGGACATGGGATAGATAACCCCAGCCCTGCGCTGTTCCCTTCCTCAAACGGCAACGTCAGGGATTTTGGCAGAATATTGATCCCTACCTTTATTCCGTTCACTTCTGAAAGCAGGACTCCTGAGAGCTGGCTCATGGTATATTGAGATATATCTTCAGCCATTTTCTACTACTTGTTGCAAATTAAAATCTCCTGGACCATTGGTCTGGCTCTCTGCTGCTTTAGGGTGTGTGTCTATTTACACGTGTGCAGAATGTCTGCTAGGTGCTGTCAAATTCTAAGGGCACACACTGGCTCTCACTTCACAACAAAGCACACGCCAAGTGCAAGTCAGAACAAGCACACACGTTCTTTTTTCATTCTTTAATTGGGAAAGAAGCATCCCATCCACTGGCTTAAAGAGAATTTGGCACAGAGAAAAAACTCTTTGCCTGTTTCTTATATTACTTTTGATCTTTGTTGCATTTTTTTTGATTAATCTAAAATTACTCCATTTGAACCAAAAAGCTTTTGAACAATGTATGCATAAAAATGTAAAACCAGGCAAGTGTTGCATGTTTTCTATTTAAAAGGAATTGTTCCAAAGATTATTTTGTTATGAAAGTTATATTTGAAGCTGAGTTTCACTTACACTATGTAAGAGAACAATCCATTTCAAGACATTCATCTATAGTGTAAGGTTTCATATTTTAGATTCATATCAAAGAGACCAAAAGGATCTTGAAACATATTAAAAAGAACAGAATAGAATAAAAACAATCAAAAAGCCTAAATCCCTAGAAATATCACCCTGGTGAAGCAGGCTAGAGGGACTGCCCATTAATGAAAGCACAGGGAAACCTGCTTTCACTAAAACACTCAAGGGACTGGTAACATCACTTCTAATACTACTGATCTTTAACAATAGGTCAAGTGAAATCTTACAGGAAACCTTCAGGAACACCTTACCAGGGCTCCATAAAGCTGAAAAATTCCTG